AATCATAAATTGTACATGTATAATGTCTGTTATTTTTATTCTCTTTGAAAACTAACTGCAAATCACCGCAAAGCACATTCTGATAAACAAAGCCTTTTGATTGATTTGTTAATTGATTGACTGATCAACCAACTTGTAATCTGACATGAAGATCCACTGTGTGTAAGTATTCTACCAAAACATTCAGGAATTACCTGATGGTATTATTAAATCCACACAGGTCACAACTTTAAGGACAAAGTTCTCATGAGATTATTGATAATTAAAGGAAGGATTAGACCCGAGATGGCCGGGTATCTTTAATGCTCACATTCCGCATTGCTGCCCCCCCCCCTTAGCTCAGTAGGCCATGTGCGCATTCACCTACTCTGCTCCATTTCAGCTGCGTCCTTCAGATGCAAAGAAGGCTTTTTATCAGGGGGCTAATGGAGTAATTACACCCCAAAGGGGATTGGGAGCAGAGTACCACGGCCTTCCTGATAATCAGCACCGTATGCCACCTGTGCAGGGATCTGCCGGCTGCTCTATATGGCACATGACCCAGGCAAAGCTACCTTCTACCGCCAGAGCTATGGGGAACTGCCATAAGGTCCAGGGCTTTAATGGGCTTTGAGTGGTGGTTATGACTGGGGGGGGGGGATCTAATAGTGAAGATGGCCGTCTGCACCTCAGCCTTGCACCTTGATTGGGGTGATCTTTCTGCTGGAGGGGACTTCCAGCTCTGCATTATGTGACCGCGGAGTAACCCTCATGATTGTCTGTCATAGCCACTGGGCGCGGGTCTGTGCTGACGCATCGGCCTGCTGGACATACGCTGATGGTCTGGCCCCTTGCACTGTCTATAAATAGCAGGGTTAATGGGCCTCTGGCACTGGCTTAGCGATCGGATCAGCGGCGCAGCTGCCGCCACCAGCGACCTGGGTCCGGTCCCCGGCCTTCCACCTTGCTCCTTAGTGCTGAGAAACAGGGCAGCTTGCCGTCGCCGCCCGCGGCTGTCGCTGCCGTTTGTATACCCTAAGGACCTCTGGCAGAGCCTTTCCCTGGGCAGATGACGCCTTTCTCCATAGCTCTGGCGCTGCCCGCGCGGGCACTGCAGGCACCGCAATGGGAGGCGGAGCCATCCTATTCACACGTGCACACCCAGCAGGCCCACTGCGGAGGACGCCAGGTGCTGGCAACTAACGTTATGTATAAAAATCCGATAACCAGCGTTTCTTTTTCAGTTACTCTGATGAGCACTGGGACCATTACAGGGGCACCAGTAAGTCATAATTTGCAGGTGTGGACCAACATCGGCAGCCACCATCTGCTTACCATGCACTCCACACACACCAGCTGCCTCTGGAACACAACAGGCCAAATTCGCACTTTACAGGGAACTCAAATGCCAGATCGACTCCCATGATCCTTTGCATGGCCGTGGGGGGGCTTATTCACGTCCACTTTACATTCTGCTGCCTGTGACTGGGTCCTTTTACTTTTTAGTTATCAGGACCTCGTGGATATGCTAATCTGTGCAACACATAAGATTAATTAACTAAGTGTACCCGATCATTTTACCGGATGTTCTCACAGGGCAGTTGTGCTTTGTTTTTTAATGGCTTTCAGTACGTAGCCCATAATGACGGAAAATTGTTTTTAATTTATTTAAATTTTATATTATAAATTTAAATTAGAAATAAAAGGCTAATGTTTTTAAACCACACTTTTACCATATGCAATGATTACTTAACAGACATATAAATGTTGCGAACCCCTGAGTAAATGTATGTCATTAGTCTTTACGACGGTAACATCTGTAACATCTCTAATTACCTAAATAAAGGCTAATTTAGAAAAAGCTGTTTAGTTAGAAAGCAGTAGGGTGAGAAGGTCCCTGGAATGAGGATTAGGGAATTTCAATCTGGAGTGGTTTCCCCATTTTATAACACTATGAATTAATGGGAAAGTAGAACTATCTCCTTAATGTAGGTATAATGTTATGAGAGAGACTGAGAAAGCTGAAAACATTCATTGATGTCTGCAATCTGTACCAAACAAATACCTGAAAATGTAGCATGCATATAATTTCCAAATCCCCTGGCCTCTAATGTACTAATGTGAGAGCACCCTGTTGTTATGATTGGCATAAAGGTGCATTTTCAGTTCATTTGAGCCAGAGACATGATCTGAGTTTAATGCTGTGGATTTGGGTCAAGTCACCTGCCATTTGACCTCAATTTCAAAACAGAGAAGGCGCTTGTTCATGCGGACAGCATCGTCCCACTGCTTTCGAAAAACCTCAAAGCTCAATTGTGGGTAATCCCTGGGTCATCTTTTGTTGATTCGTCTGAAATACCAGCATCCCTCTTCTCCAAAACACAGACACAATTATTATGGAGGCAGTGAATCTAATGGCAGTGACTCTAATTGGCAAGGATGAGACATTTATCTGTCTCTCTGCTTTTATTCCACTTAGAGCAGAGTATGTGTTCTGCGTAACTGAGGCCTGTGTTTTACTTTTGCTGCATGTACCTGCGTGCTTTACTATCATTGTGAAGACACATTTCCAGGAAACGCACACCTCCCCTGGAAAGCCAACATTATGGGGCCATAGGCAAAAATGAACACCTTTTATTAAAGTAGCCTGTTGTTGAAAGACATTTTATGAGCCAAAGTTTTTATTCGGCAATCAGTTTTGCTGAAGTGGGGTGGGATTCATTCATTTATTTAAAGTGAACAGGAAGCCGACTCTCAGAGCTGCATAGGTATAAATAATAAAGGTGTGATTAAAACACACCTACTCCATCAAGTAAAAAAATGCTGGCACTCTGTCTACTTGCTATCACCACAGTCACTCAAGTATTATTCTGTCCCTTAGCAGCACTTAATATAATTTTCTTGTACATGTATCAGTAGGTGCCTATAAGATTAGAATATCAATGATGTATCAGTATTTATACAATGTCCATCTTACAGTCTTGGTGGTTGGTAATAGCCTTGAGAACAGACACTGAGCCGCAAAGCCCAAACATTTTATTCAATTGACATTGTCTGTATCTAAGGACAGAAGCCAGCCTAGCAAACACTTTTACTCAAAAGGAAGTTACCCCTTTATTCTGGTAAAATATCCATGTCTGTAATCTTCAGTACCAATGGAAAATTCAGACATGCCTGCTTTTAATTCATGTCTCTATTTTAGCTGTTATTCACCTTATAGTAAAAGCCCTAGAAGCAATGAAGTAATAAAAATCAAATATTGCAATGACCAAGAGATGTGTTGAACATATCAAATTTTAGACTCTTCAAAAAAAGCCCCCTTTGGATTTGATAACAGCATTGCAGACTCTTGACATTCTTTCGACCAGTTTCCTGATGTAGCCACCTGGAATTCTTCTCCAACAACCCTGAAGGAATTTCCATAAGTTCTGTGCACAAGTTGGCTACCTTGCTCTTACTCTTCGATCCAACTCATCCCAAAGCAGCTCTATAGGGTTTAGGTAGGGAGACTGGGAGCCAGGTCATCTGTCACAGCACTCCATCTCTTGCCTTGTTCACAAACTAACACTTAGTATATAACCTTGAGTTGTGCTTAGGGTCACTATCTTGTTGAAAAGCAGATGCTATTCAATATGTGTGTCCAGATGTTTGCCTGGTACTGTAGGTATATGCCCAAGGGCAGCCATAAGGAAACAAGCTCATAACATTACCCTCTAAGCTATCCTGTCAATACTGTAGAACCTAAGAATTGCTTGTTCTTGGTCTTTCTTCCCCTCTGACAGAACCTGAATGGTACTTGACTTGACCTTTTGAGAGGAGTGAGATAAAAGTAATAGTTCTCCTACTTCCAGCTCGTGAAAAGAATTCACCATGTTTGGCCAATTAAAATGTTCCCTGAGACTCAGCTTACTCATGTAGACATCAGCTGCATCAGACATGCCAAGGAAATTTATGATCCCTAGTGAACTTTTTGCCTTCAATTGTTTACTTCATGGATAAACTCCCATGGCAGTACAATATGTTGGCAGTGTTCCACAACACGCATCAAGGCCAACCATGATAATATGTAGAAGAACCAAACACGACTTAACTGGTAAATCTTCTGATAGCAAAGCTATGGGGGTGCAGTTTTTGAATTCTGTCAACAAATGTGACGACATCTATGTTCTGCATCATTTCCAATATTAAACTCAGCACTAACAGGCTCCTTCAACATCGACTTACAAATGTACATCCTACGGTCATGCTAATGGCATGCTCTGTTTCTTAGAGTTCATTTTTTTGTCTTGAAAATTTTGCCTAGTAGTTCAGTATATTCTGTTTTCATTAAGCCACATGCTGATTCAGCAAAGCTCAGTTCATTTGCAATTGATTTGGTGTCTCTGTCTGGTTAGAGGTCTTTTTCTTATCAGCAAAGGTATATATTCATTGTTTTATCCCAAACTTCGCACAGTAATTAATTTCCATTGTAAACCTCTGAAACTCAATCCTTTGACCATGGTGTCTTGCAAAGAACGCTATTAATTGTGTGTGTGTGAGTGTGTGTGAGTATTCAAGAAGATCAGCTGGCTAGAGGAACCACAGAATGTGATACTAAAATTGCAGGAGACGAGTGGATGTCATTCGTAAATAAATGTAAATGTCTCGTACGACAAAATCTCAAAGCAACCTTCATAGTCGGAAGTCAGTGCATCTATGCATCCTATAAGAAGTAGTACAAAACTGCACTGGAGATAAGCACAGATTGATTGAAAATGCAGCCCACAGACCAATGAGTCATGCTGAAAGCATGTGGAGGAGTCATAAAATAGACCCTTTGATGGACTTTGATTACTATGGTTAAGCAAGGAGGGGAATAAGTGAAGCAGAGCAACAAAATAGCAATGAGCAGCAGAGCTACCCTTCAAAGCTACAGTGTGTATGTGCACGGTGTACTTGCGAGTCTTTGCAAGAGTCATACAGGCCAAGTAGGAGAAAACACAGATCCGGTTCAGGAACATCATCAGCAGAGTTTCAGAAGATCAGCGTTAATCACAAAATAACTTTATTATCTGACTCTGGTCACAGCAGTCATACTGTTTCATAGATACAGTCGTAAAATGGGGATATGGCATGGTCATGCACACTATAGCTTGAGCCAAGAGCATCACAATACAGCATTGCACAGGAATCTCCAGTTTCTTTATACTTTTCAGAATGGGAGTGTTCTTGTTTCTAGCAGAGCTTGAACAGGCCATCATCTCCCCAAACCCCTTTCCATTCCATTAAGCTGATTCGTATAATATTAATGTACAAAGCAGAGCCCAGAAACCTCAGCTGTGGACACGTGTCAGATATTTAGACTAAAATGTTTCATAGCCACTTCCATCACATTCATTGCTGACTCTGTCTTTTAAGGTCCTGCTTGAGCCTGTGCAGAGGACGCATGGTATCGTGTCTCGGGGAGGCCCTTGACATGGCCAGTATCAACTGCCCCTGTACTACAGATAAGAAATTCCAATACTTTTAAATAGAGTGAGGCTGGGACAGAGGGTGTTGCCATATTCTTTCTTTCTTGGAACATTAAATAATGTGCTTTATAGAATGGATCACATCATCCATAACAGGAGTTCTAGACCTACGTAGAACAGCTGGCATGATGTGGTTGGCATGGTTCAATGAACCCAGTGGCAATCTCAGCTGTAGGTCACTCTTCAGGCTAATGCATAAAAAAAGGAAAAAAAATAACAGGTGCCACAAAGTCACATGGGCATTTTGCTGAGGATTTATTCTAAACACCTCTGCCTGCCTTTCATATCTCTGCAGCGTGCCACGCAAGAAACAGATTGATTGATATCTGGGTGTCAGAAAGGCGGAGGGAGACAGAGCTGTCATCCATCTCTGGGGGAGGGGGAGCAGGTGACCGTTTCTGTTTGTGATAATTCACTCCCACCGTCTTTCATTCCGGTGTCTCTATAATTTAGTTTCTTCCGCTTTCATTTTGACAGCGACCCTGAACCAGAGCTTCCCCTCACATCCGAACCGTGAGCTGCTCATTCTGGCCTGTTTTGCTTCCTTCCCCACTAAAACGCCACTTTCACAATTGTTTATTTATGAGGATATTTGTTGTCTAGTTTCTCTCCTATCCCATCTGCCCCCGAAAAAGGAATCCCCAGATGAAGCCCCAGGCCGCCCCCAAACTCGCTGCGTCATGTGGTTCTGTTCACGGTGCTGCCAAGGTTTGGCAAGCAGTCCTCAGCCAGCTACTGGAAAAAACAAGGACCTTACACATCCAGCAAAGGAGGCCCATCCAGAAAACCCAGTGTACAGGGTGCGTTCACTGCAATTAACTACTTTAGGCTTGAGCCCGTGTCATACTATATAACCCCCGTCAAGATCGTGAGCTCTTCACTTCAACGATGCTTTACAGTGTTTCCTCAAAGAGTTGGTCAAAACACATAAACAAACATCTCTCTCAGTGAAGTGGATTCTCTGCACACTACAACTATAAACCATGATATGCCACCGTTGTACTTCCTATGACAACCTGAACTTCAACACAAACATTTTGATTCATGACAGAGTGCATCCTGTCAAAGCATATTTAAATACATCATGTAAATGAAATGTGAATTTTCCTGCTGCTCAGTCTGTCAGCTTCAGCTTCTGTTAGCTTTCTAGTTCAGATCTTCAGAGGTTGCTACATTGCCATGGATTAAGCCATCAGTTCTCCACTGTGCTTAATAGATAAGACCTTCTATAAAAAATGAGGGATTTCAACACAAAACAATCTAAATTTTTAGCAGCGATCAGGACTTACAACTTGTCCCGGATTGTCAGCAGCTCTCAACTGGAATTCCAGAGGCTTCCATACCCATCTGATCAGACCTGTGCACATATTAACAACTTATGTTGCATCCCAAAAATACGTAATTCCACAGGACAGCAGAGACACAACAGTCATAATATTTTTCGACAAATCTTTGAATAACAACCTCAGTTTCAGTCCTAGAATTGGACATTTTAAACTCCAAACCAATTAACTAGATTAGTCTCAGCAATACAGAAGTGTCAAATGTGCATTAACAAATCCAATTAACTGTTACTCATTTTTTTCTACATCTGCTCTTCTAGGCCTCCTTAAGACCAATTGCCCCAGGAAAAAAGAAGCTTGTTCTCTGAACAGTGGGTGTAGACAGTCAGGATAAACCCAGTAAATAAATTAATTTGCTGCCCAACTCTTCACTCCCAAAACATCTCACCCCCAAACATCTCCAAGGCATCGATCACTAGCAAATGTCCAGCTCGGTGTGATAGACGGATAGGGTGGTGGACCAAATTGCAATGTCCCAGATTACAGAGTGCAATGTTCCAGTTTAAATCCACTCTGGCTAAGTAAAAGGCATGATTAAAACTATTCCATCTAGAGATGTAAAAGGAGCCTTACAATAATGTAATGGCTGAACGCTTGCTCACATAGCATTATTAAAATAATAATCATGCAAGCTTCATTGTTTAGCCTCTTTTAGACTTCTATTATATTGCTTTTTACTAAATAGAAAAATGATGATTTGACATGAATTAATTTTTATGCCCATACAATTTCAGAACAGTGGAAAAAAAGCAAAGTTCGTATTAATAGCAAAATTAATATGCTGCCTTCGGCAGTCGTTCTGTTTTCAGAATTGACGGGTAGGTGCCAGCCCAACAGGCCATTTAAGCATCACACGTGGCAGCAGATAAACCTAATCAGCTTGTGACAATACCACAAAGGGTGATTACTATCCATTATGCCCTGTACATAAAGCCGGAAGGGGTTAATGTGTTTAATGTTACGACACATAGGGCCACAACATCACTGCTACTGTACCTCCAGACAAAGCGTGTTTTAATTTTCTCCGTCCTTTATATTCAAATGTTCTCCAGGATATTAAGAAACTCCACAAATGGCATATTGATGTGTTCTCTAGTCATGCATCATTTTTTTTAATAGCCACAGGATCTTAATTTTAAACCTTAAGAATGTATAATGAAGTCACTTAGGTGCTTCAGGAATACGTAAACAGCTTGTACTAATAATATTTTGTTTTATTTTTGTCTATGTGCTTGTGGTGAATGCTGTTTAGCAAAGAGGACACCTCTTTGAAATGCTTTTTTTCCTGCATTTGAGACCACCTCTATAATTATAAATTAATTTGTGCCTGCCTCAATGAGATGTTTAATATTAATAATAAACATTCTGTAGTGTTTTTTTGAGGTAAGTAATACTGTGCTTCTAGTGAGTACCGATGTCCTGAGGGTACACCTGAAAAACATCTGTTAGATACACCCTGCATCCCCCTCTGTTTTCATAAGAAGATTTCATATAGTATTCTCACAGCCTTGCTGTAATATGATGTAATGTGATGGCCATGTCATTGGGCTGTAATGTGACAGTGAGAGGGGGCGGCCATCTGATAGAGAAGCCATTTTCTAACCACACATAAAAATACACTGAAGTAGGTTGGGAAGGTGTACATATTTAAGCCAATCTATTAGCTAATGCAATATCCCGAAATAAACATAGATATGCTACAACTAAACTAGATTTTACACTCCTCTTGAATCCTAGCTTGAAATTGATCCCTTTCTATCAGTGTATGGGCTGGTGTCTTTACAGTGTGCTTTACAATACCGTGCAAAACAACCGCAGCTCCCCAACCCCCATCCATCCTTACACGACAAATGGGGATTAACCTGTGAGATTAAGAGCCACATACAAAAAGTGCAGACATTTAAATCAAAGTACAAGTTATGAAATAAAAAGAACATGTATGCAATGAGTTACCATTTCCTGCTATTTTTATGTGTCGAATACAAACTATGGATGGTCTGATGCAAAGTAAACACTCTCAGTTAAGACCCCTAATATTACCCCTTACCTGCCCCAATTCCTATCCCAACCAGATTTTCAAAGCATGCCTTGTGACCCAGAATAGCTTGTTTTGGCAGTAACAGCTCAGTTGGGCCTAACAAAGATGTGCCCTGGGTTCAAAGCAGCCTGTGTATGAACACAGTGTAAGTTTGCCTCTGTCCAGAGTCTCATACCTGCTGGAAGAGCCCTGTGACCTCATTCATTGGCCCCCAATCTAGGAGCTCAAATTGCTGTCTTGAGTTTGCTAGCGATATGTCTCAGTATTATCGATGTACTGGAGAAATGTTCACCATCAAACCTGCAAACCACTCTTAAACTACAGTCACAGACATACATCAAAGTGTAGTTCACAGAGAGCTTAAGATCAGGTGTTAAAGCTTCTCGTCTCTTTTGTGGTGCTGATATTCCACAAAGGTGAAGGACTTTCGCAGTGTTTGGTGGGAGGCTGTGCAGTTATTGAGGTCTTCACGAAGCCCAGGTCTCCAGAACTACCGTTACAAAAGGCATGATGCGGAACATCACAAAACGAGCATTTAAATCACCACACTGTAGTTTTCATTGACAGGAAGGGCATAAGAAAAGGAGGACTACAAGAGGAGGTGTTTTGTTTTTTTTTTCCAGCTGGGAGGAGGAAGGTGTGATTGACAGGCAATGGCAGGGACACTTTTGAAGATGGGACTACTGATTCAGAGGTGACAAACGTCTGACACTAGAGGGTGCTGTCTGGAGGAAGTGGCTGGGTAGAGATGGGAGGTGGAACAGGGAGCGTCTATATAACTACAACAAGGGAGCCATCACAGGGAGCAGCAGAATGCCGGGGGAGGCGCAGGGAGGGAGGTCTGAGCTCACTCACGGTAGAACACATATTCTGTGTAGCTTGTCCAGATCTTGTCATCCGTCTGTTCGTGGGCAAAAGCGCAGGTCCCGGTGGAGTTACAAGCCACCATATGGAAGCCGGCGTCGGCCAGCTTGTCAAAGGCCTGCTCCAGGAAGGTAAACTTGAGGTAGTAGCGGGATGTGTAGCGCTCAGGGGGGCGGTCAGGATCCCGACTCTCGTTCAGGGTGTCCCCAAAAACCTCTTTGGCCAGGGAAGTCTTCCCACACACCATGATCCGTGCCACCCGGCGAAATTTGGCATCAGTCTGGCTGTCCCGGCCCAACGTGTAGGAGCCCCGGTAGCCGATGGTGATGAATCCTGAACGCTTACCATCCCCGGCTCCCCCCAGCGCCGCACAGGCGGCCGCTGCCCCCAGCGTGGCCAAGTTGCGAGTGCTGTCGGTGTTGGGCGAGGACTCCTCTGGATCACTCTGGCAGCCTTCGTCACCCAGAGAGTTCTGCTTGCTGAGCCTGGGAGCCAGCAACTTGACTAGCTCAGGCAGGTTGAAGAACTCAGCCTCCCGCTGTAGCCTACCGCGCTCTGGGAAGTGGTCAGGGAGCACCAACTGCTGGTCACGCATGTAATCCAGGATGTAGCGGAACAGGAAGCCATCGCGGTCCACGAAGAAGCGGCCCTTGTTGTCGCGCGCTAGCCCCTTAGCACTTTTCTGGCTGAACATCTCCCAGAGGAGAGAGTCTGGTACACTAATGAGAGTGGTGTAGCGAGTGATGTATACTTGCCCACCCACATTCAGCTCCACAATCTCTGGAAATGGCTGCTCTTCTCCAAGAATGCCACTCGGGTTATCTGGCAAAGCCATGGCACTCCACAGGGGCTGAAACTCTTACCCCGCTTTGATTTAATATCCCTGATGGGCTGAACACTTAATCTCTTGTAATGCACCTCACAGTTATGTTTATTGTCTGCAAGAAATATATATTTTCGCACTGCGCACTGTATTCATTAATGCAGTTCTGATCTTGATTTGCCGTGTCGCGAGTCTGGACTGAAAAAATACTTAGGTGCAAAAAGACAATCAAAAAGTGTCAATGAAAGGTTATCACAAAAGTTCCGCTTAAGTTACGTGCTTGCCTTCTCTTCTTCATCATCCGAGGAAGACCTCTGGTTTTATTTCTGCCCTTTAAACGTAAAATTTCAGTGTAAAGCGTGAAGAAAAGTAAAGAGCTAATCTTGTAGTCAACGTAAGAAAAATATGCCTGAACGAGCAGTCCGACTCGCCGCTGGTTCAGCTTTTAAAATACTACAGCACCAGTCCGGTGGGAAACGCTGAGGCGCGCTGTATCCGCGCTGGTCGCAGGATCGCGAAGGGTACCCCGATCCCCACTATGCCAGTGATAACGGGAAAACAGGAAATTTGTGCTAATTATACACGATATGTGCTTCCCCGGTAAGTTAAAATATAAGTAACAAACCGCCCTGCACTTTTGGTCACGAGTGGTTTTCAAAAGGTCTGAAAACAAATGACATTTCGCGTTGTATTACAATAATAATCCCAAATAAGTGTTTTGGGAGAATGCATGCGTTGCCAAGCCAAAAAACCACGAGAAAATAATACAGGCAAAATTAACGTCGGTAGGACAATGCAATGTAGTAAAAAAAATGAAAACATCCGTTTACGAGAGAAACGTTTTCACGAAACTGGAACTGATACCCTACCTCATTACACGGATCTCTCCCTTCCCCTCTTCTCTGAGCAGAGTCCGCACCAGTACTATAATATTCTCTTCATTAACCCCACCTACACTCCGGTGACGTTGCCTTGGCTTACATCCAACTAGTTGGCCCATGTACTAGCAGTTACAAAACCTAAAGCAGCATCTCATGTAAATACCCCTGGCCGGTCTAGAATGTGCTGATTTTTTTTTTTTTACTGAACAGAGCATGGGAATCTTTTACCATTAGTAAAATATAACTGTCCTTATTGCGCGAAATTACTGATAACTTTGCTCATAAAAAAATAGTGAAATTTCCAAACTGTCCTTATTGCGCGAAATTACTGGTAACTTTGCTCATAAAAAAATAGTGAAATTTCCAAACTGTCTTGCACTGCAGATTGAATCCGTCTGTTTTTCTTTGTTTATTCATTTTTTTCGATCGTTCAGTCAGTTTTTAAAACAGAATATTTTAGGATTTTTTTAGTAGCGTAATCTTCACTGCAATGCCACTATTAATTGATTATGCTGGTGGTGGGGGAGTATAATTTCAAATAGGCCTACATACATTTTTATTTCAATGCTCCATATTTTGGATTTATCATTTGTAATCGTAAAATGAACCTATTAAATACTAATATACATTTTAAATACTCATATTAATTTTACTACAGCTTACATAGTGAAATGATGGCGTAATATTTAAATAGTCATTCTTTATAATACAGGGAATAGTTTTAAAGTTGTTCGGCTTCACTATGAATGGTTAATGCGTTCGTATTTTCAACAAGAGATTGATAAACACAAAAGTCTGTGACCAAAAACAAAAATATGGTTTTTGTATATGAACAAATACAAAAAGTCGTCGGTAATTTCTAAATTGTAAAAAAATACACACAAAAACCATGCCATTTTAGTGGGGCATTATTTCTCGTGAAATAGTGACATCTGGCGACCACAGAAAGCAGTTACACACTTAAGACTTTAAATCACAATTGACAAGTTCTTTCGCAGGGACAGGTTTATGTACTGGTACTGAAAGTTACTGTTTTGGACACAGTACCATGTATTCGGAGATATATTAATATATTATTGTTATATCCATAGATATGTAGCTTACGTACTAGCAATTCTGAAATAATGAATTCATTGTTTTTATGGATGCTCTAATGCAACTAAAAATAAAGAACATATGGCACGGGCAGTATGTTATACTTTAAGACACGTGTGCAAGAGCTTTCATTTTCAAGTTTCAAGTTTTCTTTTTCTTTGTTTTTTTGTTATACATTAGCAACATAAGAAAACAACTGAGCAGCGGAGCATCGTAGATACCAAAAACAATTGATAAAAGTCACCGTTCAGTACCCATAACATTCCTCGCAGTTAAACTATTTGACGCTCAATTTCCTAACTTTTAAAGATACAAGAAAGAACAGCACGACATAAAACGATTCCTGTTTCTATATATCTCGCCTACATCCTCTTGGTGAATGCAAAGAAACAAACCCGAAGTTCTAACCACATCCGGAGGTGCATCGGCTCCTTTTAGCAATCGTCGGTAAAAGTAGCACTACAGTAAGTGTGAGCAGTTGGAGAGCGCTGCCTGTCCACCTGTCCGATACGAGACCAGAAATCCTGCTGGAAATTATACAGCACGTAAGCCGGACATGCCGATAAGTACCTGTAACACCGCATTTAACCTTTTTTCCGTTTGAGCGAATGGGGTTTCTAAATGTGACGTCTCATCTTCCTGCCTATGCATTTCGAAGATATAAGGGAAAGTTGGACGGCCGGGGTGTATTGCTTCATGTTTACATGTATGTGTTTAATAATGTATGAAGGCCAGGTATTCACTGTAAACTGTGTTGGCGTGATATTGTCCAAAAAGAAAGTGAAACGGTGCCCTGAGAGCAGCGGCGGCCCCCAGAATGGCTATGAGCCCCCTGCGACACGCTCTGCAGAGAGAGATCTTCACACCTCGGGAGCAGAGGCTGCTGGCTGTGTCCTTTGTGTGGAAGGCCGGCAGGAAAAGGAAAAGTGCCATTTTGTGTGCTGCAGGTAATAATAATCAGAGGTGGGATGTTTGGGTCCAAAAAGTACAAATCCAGACCAAGATTTTTTCTCCAACCAACTAGTTGAGTACTCTGTCACTGTGACTCATTATATTCAACTGGTTAGTTGAGAAAAAAATTTGGTCTGGATTTGACTTTCTAGACCTGATCTTACTACTTTTAAAAATAATAATAGTAATAAAGAGACAAAATAACAAACAGACACACACACGCACACACACACACACACACATGTAGGGTAAACATAATCTTATGGGGACCGCTCATTCATTTCAATGGGAAAAATGCTAATGCTAACTATGACAACGTTAACCCCCACCCTGCCCTAACCATAACCATAAGTAACCTAACAAAATACAAGAGTTTTTGCATTTTTAGTTTTTTCATAGCAGTCACCGATTTTTATAAAATAGAGTTTTCCCTTATGGGGACCAGGAAACCAGTCCCCATAAGGGAAAAAAATGGATATGTATCACGTTATGGGGACATTATGTCCCCATAAGGATAGGTAAACCCGCTCACGCACACACACACGCATACACGCGTGCCCGCTCGTACCCACTTATTAAAAGTGTAGCTGACCTAAACATGCACTTTATGACTCTTACAGCTAATAGCTGTGGTATTAAGCGATAAAAATATCCCCTTTGTAGCTGATGCAGTGGAACCACAGCCTCCATTTGCTGTGGCTGTGCCAGGGTAATGAGCATTACACATCTCAGTGCCCGTGTGGATTAGTGCTACCCTGGCCTGTTAATTTTATTAGGAGCAGCCCCAGGGGGGCGTCCAAAAGGCATACACTTGGCACATGGCACCTTCCCCTTAAGGTTCCCATTGTTATGTAGAAGCTGGCTGAATTCGCTTGTGCACTAGGCCAGCCAGCAAAATGGTGTTGTCATCTCACCAAGCATGTGGGAGTCTGGCATGCATGACGTGACTGGGAGCCTGAAACAAGCTTTTTTCTTCTTGAAATGTTTACACAGACAGTATTTTCCATCACAACAGCTGTCCAGATTCTACGCTTTTTTATTAGTTTTGCTGTAGCAAGCAAACTGCAATAAAAGCACAAAATAGTTTTGTTTTTTTTTTCCAAATAAGCAGTAGCAAGAAAATTAGCATTTTTTTGTGACGTGTGGATCTCATTCAGTGGTTTCACACAATTCGCAGAGAGCATATTTGAATAATTTAGACTACTTTTGACATTTTTACAGCAGTAAGTGAATGGTCAACTGTGTATCAGGATCCTGAAAAAGGACTTTGGGGTCCCTGAATTTCTAATATAAATATCACAATGTTGTTTTAAAACATGAAGGCATCAGTGGATGAGATAGTCGGGCAGGTGTTGATTCTGAGATGAGAAAAATACCCATGATTTGCTGTGCTTGTGTATATTACCCTCTACAGACATCAGGGATGCCTGATATTGACATCTGAGGGTGACATTTTTCTGCAAAGTGCTAGTTGGCTGTTCGTAGTGCAATTTCCTTGAGATGCTGTAGGCTCTCCTTTGAGAAGTGGGGTCAGCATCTCGCTGCTTACCCGGTGAATCTCCCCTTCATTGAATCACCAGCAGAGCTTCTCTCTCTGCTTTGAGCAATTATGGGCTTGTCTGCCAGCGACACGCTTATTGCATGTAGATGTAAAGCGCGCGTGACATGCGTCGTGTATCACGTCCGGTAGCTGCATTGTGGCCGTGGAGATATGTGAAGCACTTTGTGATGCTGTAATTAAAAACCTGATTTGCACAGTAGCGGCATCTAAAATCGCAGCTCTTCAAATCACTATGTGTCATTAATTTCAACGCCGGCATACCAATTTCCTGATCCAGTCAACAGTTCACAAGCATAAATGCCCTTTGGGTCTCATTAGAGGCGACTTCCTGGGGCAGTGACCTATACTGATTATCAGACACAAGGAGCTATGTGGTAACATGTCTGACCTCCAGGGAAAACAGTGACATTTATAACACTTCACATTAATATTAATTGAAGATGATTTCCATCTGTATTATTTTACCAACACCTTTTTGATTTTCTTTTCTGTCCTCTCTCGCTCTCTCTCCTTTCCCTGTATCACTCTGCCCTTCCTCCTGTGCCTCTCCGCAGTGAGCTCAGAGCAGAAGGCGTCTGGGGAGGTGGTTCTGATGACAGTGAAGGCCGTAAAGAGCCACTACAAGCTGAATGACAGCTGGCCAGCTAGTGAGCTCACGCTCGTCGATGGGATAGACGCCGTCAAGGTCAGAGCGGCGTTAAATCAAAGAACATTTTTGACCACGTTCCAGAATAAAGGGGCTTTGTCTAACTAAAGTAAAAAATCTGAGCATGAGTCTTTGAGATTACCTTCATGTATTTAAAATTATATTCACAAGAAGATATTTTTAAGGCATGTTTAAAATCACTCGAGCATTCAGGGATCTGTGTATGTTGCTTATGGTCTCCCTGTTCCACCCATAGCCACCTATTTACTTATTTTTTTGTGGTCCAGAAGGAGGATCAACAGCTAGCTTCCCCGACAGGTGCGATCCCTCTAGGAGACTCCTAGCCAAGAAGAGCAAGCGCCAAGCAATGCCCACACAACCACTTAATACTTGGTCTGATAACTTACTATCGACTCATGGAATTCACTAGCTTAGCTAATATGTTTTTGAACATATTGGTAATCGGTGCTGTCCCAGTATTAGACCTTCTGGTTTTCCTTAATTTAAAAATTGTGTTCTCCCACTTAATTCTGAAGATCCGATAAACCCAGCAATGCCACTTCACTGTAGTCCTAGCTACAAGAACATATCTAAAGATCATTAGTTCATTGCAGAAAAATGATTCTGTGTGGCATATGCCTGTTCAGCAAAATCATTGATGAATATACCTTGCCCAGCATTCAAGGAAGGAGAAGATTATTATACAGTGCAGTGCAGTGCAATATAGTATAGTATAGTATAGCACAGTATAGTATCATGTAGTACAGTGTATATATAGTATAGTACAGTAATATAATAATTTCATAAAACTGTTCATATATACTAAAGGTAATTTTATAAGCTTAAAGGAAAGTGCGCACAACAGCTTTGCTTTCCTTGGTCTACGCATATTCTTTTGCTCACCATTCCAAAGGATGTGGTTTTACGAAGATCTGTTGCCGTGAGAAATTGAGCATTAAGCGTTCTCAGTACATTCGCGTGGGCAGTGGCCAGTGCATACCCCCCCCCCCAAAGCAGCACCTGGTACGTCTGAGCCCACAGCAACACCCACACAGCAGAGGGCGCAATCAATCACTGAAAAGCCCAGCTTTGTAACAGTAAAGTGCACGGTCAATGCTCCACCACAGAATACTGTATATACAAAGTGTAGGCAGGTTGGAGTAGCCAAAGATTCATTATTACTTTATTATTACTATTGAATTATTTCTACACATAATTTATTGTATTAGTTGTATCATCCTTGATTGTTCCGCATGACACTACAAAGTATGAATGAATGTTACATTTATATAGCGATTTTTAAGACCCCCAAACAGCTATACAGAACCAATGGGGAGCCACTTCAACCATGATGATTAGGAGGCCAGATTTGAAAATGCCTTGTATGCGATTTTAGACTTTAGACTGTAACAAATTATGATGTCAGGTATTGTTATAATTAAAACATGGTGTAACTTTCTGTACCTGCTTATCCATGTGAAATGGCCTTGTTGTGGCGTTAAACACATCTGCTTGACCAGCGCTGTTAACTGGCATCACATACGCTCACACATGCCCTCCTCTGGCCATACAGGAAACTGCAGAGTTTCACCTGCACCTGGACAAGGTGTACAAGTGGGTGTCCAGCAGCTCTGCAGAAAAGAAAGCGTTCGTTACCTGCCTTTGGAAGATAAACCAGCGATACCTCCAAGACAAAGTGCAGTTCCTCAACATCAGCCCTGCCATCTTGGAAGGTATGCCTACCATCCTTTGGGCTTGTGTGCTTAGCCAATGAAATTTTCTTGAAGATAAATTTGGCAAATATTGCATTGTGTAGTACTCAACACCACTCACTGAAGACTTACTACAAGAGTGCTTGGTTCTGGGGGATGACAGTGAGTCATATTTCACTTATATACGTCTATTTGCCTACTATGGTGATATTTTCTGTTTAGTTTTTTTGTTTGTTTGTTATTTACTATTGATTAAACTATACATTTCTGATATGTATGTATTTGGTTCTATAGCCCATAGGATGAAAACAAGAATTTTAATGTAGTATGTACACACGACAATAAAAGGCCTTGAAATGCATTGATTTTCATCTGAGTACTCTAAAAAGAAAAAATCACAATTTTGGTCTTTGTGTCTATTTTGAGTTTGCATCGATTTACAGGACCAGTCAAAAGTCTGAACACACCTACTGAAAATCATTTGTTTTTCAACAAAATAGCAACCCTAAACACACCTTGAGGTTATGTGATAAGTATTATCCAGTGAACAAGGAAAGAGATGGAGTGCTGTGACAGATGACCTGAACCCCACAATCCCCCCATCTAAACCCTATAGAGCTGCTTTGGGATGAGTTGGTTGAAGAATAAGGGCAAGTTGGCCAACTTTTGCTCCGAACTTGTGGAAACTGCTTCAGGACTATTGGAGAAGCATTCCAGGTGGTTACATCTAGAGGGTGGTTGGAAAAATGCCAATAGTCTGAAATGCTGTCATTGCAGCAATAAGGGGCTATTTTGAAGTGTCTACAATTTGAGATGTTGAACACTTCTGTTAATCATTGCAGTATTTAATATATATTACTTCATTACCTCGAGGCCATTTACTATAAGGTGAATAACAGCTAAAATTCATTACAAGCAGCTGTGTCCAGACATTTGACTGGTACTGTACATTACAACCAGACAGCATCACACAGCTTCGACAGTTTTGCCTGCATTCTCCATTTTTTTTCTGGCTCTACTTAATCAGGGAACAGCTATGGTTGGAAATTGACTAGAACTGTGGATTTCAAGGTGGTAGGCAGTGACAAGTCATTACCACAGCACAAAAGAATAGCTGTTGCAGAATACAGAGAGCAGTATGAGGAAAATAATGTCATTAATGTGAACAGTATTCGCTCGTCACAATGTAAACAAAAATCTTTACCCTCAGAAGCTTTCAGCTTGCACAGATGAAATGAAATTGGCATGAGTCCTCTGTAACTTATTAGATGTCTGAAATCTGTTGATAATAATAGGAGTGATAGAGGGTTACACAGCAGGTAGAACACAAAGCTGTAGAGATGGCATGATTTTTAGCCATCCCCAGTGGTGTAGTGGTGTTCACTGAGCCCATATGAACCCATGTTCCATGATAATATCACCCCAGATATTGCTCGGGACCAATCATTTTTCATTCTGCCCTCAGTACATGCAAGTAAAACTCCCACAAGCCCTGATTCCAGCCAAATTTAATTAGTTTTATGGCAAGTTAATGTTATACCTTCACCAGGTATTAAATTCCAGATCAGGTCTATTACTTTAACAATCAGATCTAACATGTTGCCATAGCAATCAGATCTAACTTGCAGTTATATATATTCCAGGTTTAACCTGTTGCCGTGGTTATTGGTTCTATTCTGTTATCATGACTGTCAGGTCTAATCTGTTACCTGGGTTGTTGGTTCTATTCTGTTACCATGGTTATCAGGTCTAACCCGTTGCTCTGGCTATTGGTTCTGTTCTGTTACCATGGCTGTCAGGTTTAACCTGTTACTTGGGTTGTTGGTTCTATTCTGTTACCATGGTTATCAGGTATATCCTGTTGCTCTGGCTATTGGTTCTGTTCTGTTACCATGGCTGTCAGGTTTAACCTGTTGCCATGGTTGTTGTTTCTATTTTGTTACCATGGTTATCAGGTCTAACCAGTTGCCTTGTTTGTCAGTCCTATTTTGTTAGCTTGGCTATCACCTTTAACCCGTTGCCTGTCATCTGTCTCGATATTGTATGCTGTAAAGATGCAGGCTTCTGTTCTCTGTGTTGCCCTTAGGCGTAGCTCATACATAAACAAACAGGGTACAGCACTGCACTCATTACCATTTTCAAGCATTCGTGGTCCTTCAATACTGACCTCCGTTGCCATTTCAGCGTCATCCCATGAACAGATGTTTTAAATGGCAGCTTTATTGGCCTGGTGCTGCTAAAGCTGACAGGGAGAAATGTTGCAAATCAGAAAATGTGTCAGCCTACCAGTGCCAAGTCCCTCATTTACAGCAGCACGAGGAGACCAAAGACCTACATTGAATAAAAAAAAGATCAAAGAACTGGACCGTGTGTGCATAGTGGTGTAAATGCGCTGACAGAAACGAAAGGGTTTTCCTCTTGTGTGGTGTCAGTTTTACAAGCTGTACACTGACTGGCAGAAGACTGTTCATTGAGAAGGTCCTGGGGGATTCAAGTGGGAATTCATACAGGACATTGCCTTTCGTTTTGAAAGCTTTGCTACTGACTCAACTGTGCTGCCAGCTGGGAATACTTAGCTAAAACGAGCCTAGAGAAAGTACTTTACTTTGCGAGTGCAAGGCGAGTGTTTGTAATGGAGGGTGAGAGAAAGAAATGCTTTTCTGTATTTCAGTTCAAAAAGATACGGTCACACTGTGTGGACACGCATTTACATTTGAGCTGCAACATGTATCTGCTTCTCAACACCTCCAGATGGCTGTGGTCATCAAAACGGAGTAAATCAGTGTCTCCTCCTCACCATCTGCTAAACTTCCATATTAAATTACCCGACATTCATTCTTATATATGTACAGTGTAGAGTCGTATACACTTAAGTGTAACCTTGTCTTTCAGGCATATGAACTGTACAGGGAAAGTATGGGGAAAATAAGATTAGGAGTAAGTATAGGGAAAATAAGCCCATAAAACTGTACATCAGTTAACCTGGTGATTCATGGGAGGGTTTATTATTATTATTATTATTATTATTATTATTTTATTGTAGTAGTAGTACTAGTAGTAGTAATATTGTTGTTATTCTGCCATGGGTTGGCACCCCACCTGGGTCGTTGTCCCCCCGGTGCCCATAGTTTCCAGAATAGGATCCGCACCCCTGCGATTGATTGCTGGAATCAATGGATGTATTATTATTATTATTACTATTATTATTATTATTATTATTATTTTATTATGTTGACATCCCATTCAGGGTTACTCTGGAGCATCCAGGATAGGCTCCAGACCCCCACGACAATATTAATATTGATGGATGGATATTATTAGTCTTAGTGGTAGTAGTAGTAGTAGTATGTTGGCACCCCATCCAAACTGTTGCAAAGTTTGACATATCTTACTAAAGCAAGATAAAGTGTGGTTTCCCATCCTATGAGGGCCCAGAACTATCATGAAAACACATTTTGATGCCTGAAAATGTCATGCTTTTCTAACCCTAACCCTAGCCTCAGTTTGCTAACCCTAATTTCAGGCCTTAGGGTGAAACAACAGGGTGTTGGAAAGTTTGAAATATGCCATTAAATCAAGCTAAACTGTGGTTTCCCATTATACGAGAGCATTGGCTAATGATAAAACACGCTTTACTCCCTGAAAATGCCACATTGTGTCTAACTGTAAGCCTACCTTATTATTATTATAATTATTATTAGTAATAATATGCTCCCTGCTCAGGATGGATGGATTTATTATTCTTCCTATTGTTCGTGTTATTGTTGTCATTGTTATTCTCATTAGTATTTAAATGAAAGAAACAACGATAAATGTATAACCTAATACCTGTTTATCAGTGTGACAGTGTCCCTGCAGCTTCATTGTTTTAGTAAAGCATTGCACCTTGCATAATAGAAACCCCTTCAAATTAGCATAATAATGATGATTAGCAAAATAAAATAGATACAAGATGATGTCGATTTTTTTTATCTGTTACTCCCACTAATAACTGCTTGCAGAGGTATTGCCATGGCAGCATGGGAGGGTACCAGCAACGCCAGAGTCAAAAGCGGTGGAAGAGGAGGCGGAAGAGGAGGACTTCCAGGAGCTGACGCTGCGGGAGGCGGTCGACGTGCAGAGGCTCATGGAGGAGAGCGACGGAGCCATGCAGGATGCCCAGGCCTTCACCCAGACCCTGCACGCCAACCTGGCCAGCTTGGATCAGGTGACCACCAAATACTCATAGGCTCCATTAACCTATATTAACAGTTACACTTACTAATAGTGATGGAAGACCTACAAAAGCAGAAACCAGAAAGCATTTTATTCAAAGGCCTTTGCTTTAATCAGGGTGTAGATTTAGGCTAGATTGGCCCTCAGCATTTTTAAGAAGTAAATCCAGAACTTAGTCTAATGTATCTGTGGTAGATCACATTGTGTACAATCACTGCTGCTCTGGTCATTCCATATCTTATGTATCCCCTGGGGGCCAGTAAGTGGCTCAGCAAGTTAGGACTCTGTGCCTGTGATCGGAAGGTAGCTGGTTTGAATCCCAGGACTGGCAGAGTGATGCAACTGTTGAGCCCCTGCACAAGAGTCAAAGCTACAGGGGTGCTGCATGCTGGCTGACTCTGTGCTGTGACTCCCAAAGCTTGCTCTAACCTATATATGTGTCTGTGTACCTCATGGAGATCTATAGAGTATAGCTCCTCTGTTCTGTATAAGGCCTCCTGGGGTCTCTGGTTCTAAGAATCCCTGGGTTGTCCCTGTTGGATCTATGCTGGTGAAATGAATCCCAAGGCAGCATGATGATAAGCAACCTGCTGGGAAGGTGGCATCTCCATCCTCCAGCAGCAGTGCTTCCAGTCATACCTCAGACTGGTAATCAGTGCCTTAGCCTGTCATTCCAGCAGAGGGCTGCCTTTGGGCTGAAACCGCTCTCCATCTGGACTCCCTTCCAGACCACTGGGTTGTGAAAGCTTCCCTTTTTTTGGAGCTTGTTCCCTCTATCAGGATCTATGCACGCTCTGCACAGGGGAAATTTCATGCTTTCTCATTACTTTGTAATAATAAGTTACAATAATTCAATGCATGCCCCCAGTTAGTAATATTATCCATATTCATTTAATTAGCAAAAGCATTCAGATTACAGTAAACACAAAACTCATATTTGGAAATATTCTCACTTTATTAAACCATTTACCAAAATCATGATTGATGTACACAAATTGCTCAATACAATTATTCTTATTGCCACTAATACTTTTAATAATATAAATGACTAAATTGCATTGAACCTTCCCTTGCTAATCCTATTCCTGAGTTAGGGTAAAAACAGTCTGAATATGACTGAGGCTGTTGTTATGCTAAATTCCAGTGATGGACTAAAGGATGCTTCATGCACCTTATGGACTAAAGGATGCTGTATGTATTTTTTGACCCCACTAGATAGTGCTCTCTGTTCAAAAATGTACACAAACCATGCCCCAGAGCAAACCAAGAGCGCCATCTAGTGGGGTCAAAAAATACAGTAAATGGTTCATGAGGCATCATTTTGTCCATCACTACTAAATTCCATGTTGATGATGCTGAAGGTGAATCAGTGGGTAGCGTTTTGTGTGGAGGGCATATCTTCTCCTTTATTTGTTCTGGGAGTGCCAGTTTCCTCCCACTGTACAAGGACGTGCCGTTTAGTTGTACTGGCATCTCTAAGCTGACAATAGATTGTGCTTGAGTGCTTATCCTGTGATTGACTGGCAATCCATCCAAGGTGCTCCATGCTTACTGGGAGAAGCTTCCTGCTTCCCCTGTATTGGATCAGCAGTTATGGTAGGTGGAATGACATTTGAATGTCGTGAGACTAATGTTGTCCAATCACCAAACGCTGTGCCATCTCTACTCACCCCCAGGAAAACTTCCATTCCCTGATGGAGACCGAGCGTCAGGGAGAGCAGCTGCTTAGTCTGCTGGACGAAGCTCTGCTGGAGGTGACACACATCGAGGATGTGTTGTCCCATTATGATGAGCTGCTGCATGGCGTCCAAAAGCAGATGGACATCCTCCATGCCAGCAGTGCTTGGCTACAGCACATCGACCGTAACCACAGCCAGCTTTGTTCAGAGCTCTGCCAACTAGTGGTAAGGAGGACATATGCAGTAACAGGGAATAGTCTGGACACACCTGCTTTTCATTAAGAAATCTCTATTTTACTCACCTTATACTTTTATAGTAAAAGGCCTTGAGGCAATTAAGTAATACATATCAAGTACTGCAACGACCAACAGAAGTGTTCAACATCTAAATTTTTTCTCAAATTTTACATGCTTCAAAATAGCCCCCTTTGCTTTGATGACAGCGTTGCAGATTCTTGACATTCTTTCAACCAGCTTCCAGACGTAGCCACCTGGAATGCTTCTCCAACCATCCTCAAGGAGTTTCCACAAGTTCTGGGCACCAGTTTGCTACCATATTCTTACTCTTCAATCCAACTCATCCCAAAGCAGATGTAGAGTTTAGGTGGGGGGATTGTGGGGACCAGGTCATCTGTCACAGCACTCCATCACTTCCTTATTCACAATGTAATACTAACTACATACATAACCTTGAGGCTCGCTTAGGGTCATTATCATGTTGAAAAACAAATGATTTTCAGTAGGTGTGCCCAGACTGCAGATTGACTGGTACTGCAGATTTTGTATAGCTCTTTCTCTGCTCACACCTGTACCTGGACATTCATTGGAAGCAAAGTCTAGTCACACTTTTACCTAGTCAACTCTTCAGCATATGTACATTTGTAATGTGCTGTTTGTCACTTTGGAAAACAGTATCTACTAAAAACAATAAAGTTGAATATTATTATTCAAGTAAATAATGTTTAAGTAGATAGTCAGTATGAATTAATATTTATTATGGCCAATCCAGTCAATTTAAGTTTCAAGAAGTAATATGATTAGTCATATTTTTATAATGCATATAATATATTACAGAAGCTGAGAATGGCTGTGCTTGCAATTATTTTTTTAATGCCGTTATCACAAGATAACAAAGCTTGTTTTCTCATGATAAGGAGTGCTTAATTGCCCTGCTAAACACGGAACACCTGTACAGAATGTCACTTCTCAGTACCAAAGGATGAAAAATAATGATAGCATCCATGCTGTGCCCCTCTACAGCACTGTATAGTGGACTAAGTATAGCTTTAATTAGAGTTTTATGATACAGGCTTTAACTATATCACGCGTGGGAGAATATTGTATTTTGATAATTAGATTCAGTTCAAATTGACTTTCAAATGGAATCGATAAAATGTGGCTTTTTACGACTTGCCAAAAACTTAATGAGGCAAAATTAAGCTATTATAGTAAATCAGTTGCTACAGTTGTCAAGATACCTGTAGATTTTCTCGAGAAAATGAGCTTCGCTATCTAAGGATAACAAGATAATTTTCTTGCTATCTCGAGATAACGGCATAAAAAAATTATTGCAAGCACAGCAGTTCTCATCTTCTGTATAATATAATATAATATAATATAATATAATATAATATAATATAATATAATATAATATATGCGATGGGCTGGCCCACCGTCCAGGGTTGTTCCCTGCCTCGTGCCCATTGCTTCCGGGATAGGCTCCGGACCCCCCGCGACCCAGTAGGATAAGCGGGTTGGAAAATGGATGGATGGATGGATAATATAATATAATACCTATGGTTTCTTCAGGAAAGAGCTGGTAGATAGTAGCTGGTAAGTAGGTTCCTGTGTGAGGAGGACAGGCAGCACCAGCTCAGCTCCCTTCCTGTCAGCACTCTCCACTTTCATCTCTGTGGAAGCAGATGTCACCCTGCAGTCTGTGTGTTGTCAGGACCGGCTGTCAGTGCGCGAGGAGCACTTGCAGGTCTTGACCAAAGGGGACCTGGAGAACGAGGAGCAGATGAAGGGCTGTGTCGCGGCAGTCCGGGCGCTGTCCCAGGGCCTCAACGCGCCACTCAGCACAGGTACCTCGCGCCCTAACGCTCTGGCTGCTGATGTTGGCACCAGCGAATCGTAGATTGTGCAGTGTGTCATTTTTTGAATTTCAATCAAAAGGATGAATGACCTCATGTGCATCCAGAGTCATTTGAATTTTTCTGTTGATTATAAATGTGAAGTTCTTTTAATTACAATTAAACTTATACAGTTTATTGTAGTTCAATACGTAGAGCGTTGTGCTAACAACACAAAGGCTGTGGTTTCTAATCCCAGGGAACAGATTTAACTTGTAACCCTTCCCTCCACTGTAAGTTGTTTCAGATAAATATATTTATCCATTAGATAAAACCGTTAGATAAATAAGTTGAATGTATCATTGATACAAGGTACAACAGCCCAACAAAGGCCCAATGCACATGTACCAGGTGTAGGTGTCCCTCAGACATCTAGAAAGCTCATCTTAGACATGCAGACTTTGTGTTACTGAATTGCTAACATGGGGAAGAATTCTAAATATCAAAAGTAAAAATGAATTCAAAATAGTATAATAGTATATGTAAAAAGATACTGTTGTGGGAATTTTGCAGTGTCTAGGAATACAGTGAAAGGCCATCATGCTGATGTTAGGGAATATTGGGTGTGTGTCAGGACAGCGCAGACTGCAGGGGGCCGCGGAGCAGCTCATCCGGTTCGAGAGCGTCCGTCAGACCTTTGAGCTCCGTCTCTGCCGACACATCACGAGCGCCGTGATCCTGCAGGTGGGTGGGGTTCCCGCAGCTGCTTCGAAATGATGCGGAAGGCCAACGACAGGCTGCAGAGGCGGGAGCGTGGGGTCCAGGCCCTGAGAGTGTGACGAGATTCATGACCACATTGACAGGGCCTGAGAGAGGGAGAGGATGGGGCCGGCACCGAGCCCTGGAAGCCCCACGCCTTCCACGTGTCACTGCTGCGCTATAAGCCCCTTATGGAGTGGCTGAAGGAGAGTAACCCAATCATCTTGCAGCAGCTAAGCAAGGTTAGAACGAACCGACAATCAAAGGCACGTGGACCTGGGCTGTAGGCATTCTATATATACCTTCTCTGTTGTGTGCTCTAATGATAGCGTCCCACCCATTAGCCAGAGAGGTAGTGCACAGATTACCTCGGCAGTTTGCCAAAGCTGGGAAAATGTTATGCAATCTGCAGCTGCAAAATTATAATTAGCATATCTCAATTCTTATTGGCATGTTTCTGAGAGGCAATTTTGTGTTTACCTTGTCGATTGGGGCTATTCAATTTAAACCTGTGTAAAAAAATGTCTCTCTTGTAGCTAAAAAGGCAAATAAAATTCTCTCTAATTTATTTGTATTGACACAAGAAAGGCTGAAAATATCCACTAGACACATTTAGGTATAAAATACTAATAAATAAAAATATTAATACTGATAAACAATACCAACAGGGAATACAATGCAGAGTGGCTTCCCTGGAGTTGCAAATGCCATTATAATACTTCCCATTCATGTAGCATTCAGGCATCTTCACTCTTGGAAAGTATCAAACACATTGCGTTATCGTGTTTTTTATTCTGTTGGATTGGCTTCAGTTGAATACTGACACTGGAATCAATGAAGGTAAGTAGCATTTTATTTCTCGAAGCACTAGTAGCTCATTAACCATGCTCTGTAAAGACTATGTCAGGGGTGGCATGAAAATTAATGTGATGACTTGTACAATGAAATTGAAGGGAATTTGAAGTGCATTTCTGAGAATGGAATGGAATCAATTTGACTGTGATGTTTACTTTTAGAAGTGCACGGTTTCCCCTTAATCTTATGGGCTACAGCCATATTGCGGAAGTCTCTGATTGCCATCTAGTGGCTGATTGGGCTTACTTCATACACATCAGTTTAACTAGATCCATTTAAGAGTACATTCTTAGAAAGTATGAATTAATATTTATTATGGCCAATCCATTCAATTTTGGTATCCTGCAGGTTTATGCTGAAAACATTTGCAAGCTTTACGAGAGACAAATGAAAGACCTTTTCGATGCAGCCAGACTCCAGTTGTGTGGACTGAAAGATTCCAAAAAAATCGGTGAGTTTACGGACATTGGTGACAGTCCTATCAGAATGATAGCCAGAAGCTCAGAGTGGAAACTGTATTCCCATAATCCTCTTTCAGTCTGTGGTGTCACACTGACACAGCTGAAAGGGGCCTGTGGAGAGCTCTGGTTGTTCCTTGGTGTCATCGTCATTCAGCCTGAACGTGTGGCGTTGGTGTAGGTGTGATCTCAGCGCTCCCAGACTCGGTGACCAGTGCCGCCGGCTGTATGGCCAGCGCGTCCAGGAGCGCACCAGTGTCGTCATACTCGGAGGGGCAAGCCAGCATGGTAAGTCACATGGCACCAGCTCAGTAGGTCATTTGGTGAGGCGTTTCAGACAGAGTCGATAATTCATGCAACCTTTCCCTTTCTCCCTGCTGAGAGCTTATTTAAACAGTGCAGATTGAGTATTGCGTAATGACATTCCCCCGTTAACCAAGAACCAAGCTCTGGAAATAAACTTCAGCTGAAAAAACTTTTTGTACAGCTGCAAAGAACACAGCAGGCAAACCTGGAGGAGTGATTGGGTCAGCGTATCGCTTTGGTCTGTGTGTAACTGCATGCTCCTCGTTTGCTCCAGGTGATCCAGCAGGTCTTTAGGCAGCTGGGAGCAGTGTGCATCAAGGAGCAAGAGTTCCTCACATCCTTCTTTGGCCTGAACAGCAGCTCCAGTACCGTGGCGGTGAGCAGATGATCTTTCAACATCTTTTCTGCCACCTCGTTTCCACAACTATTTTAAAAAAGTCCCAATTTGCTGGCTCTTGTCTTTTTCTTTTCTTCACTTTTCCTGGAAGGTCCTTTTAAAAAAACAAAAAAAAAAAGGTGGTATTAATGGGCAACAAAGTCAATAAATGACAAAGTAGTAGCAATCCAGCCCACTACTAGTTGTCCTTGTTTACGGGAAGCAGTTTTAAATGTGGTGGTTGGTTGTTTTTCTATTGAAACCCTTTATTTAGTGAGTTTCATGCATCAAATAAACTCCTCACTTGTCCTACGGAACCTGCACAACTGTAAACGAAAGACTTCATTTATTGAATTTGCTGAAACCTACATGTGCCGCCTATAATTATATCTTTTGTGTGCCCCCCCCCCCCCCTGCCTTCAGTTCCATGCTGGTAGGAGGAGCAGTGTTGTTGACCAGACCCAGAACCCAGTGTGAGTGCCCTGCTGTGGTGTAGCGTGAGAGATGTGGCACCTGAAAAGCCCAGGAGACTCAGCCCAGTTATCTCACTCTGACTGCAGTGGCCGCTGAGTTTACGTGTTACGTGTTACGTGTCCTGCTGCAGTACCCGGGAGCAGAAGAAGAGGCCCCACAGCTGGATCCGAATGTCGGCCAGCCTCGAGGCCCCGGAGCCCTGCGTGGAAGGCTGGGACTGCGTCCAGGCCGTGCTGGGGTCAGCAGAGCCCCGCCTCTGTGCCCTGCTCAGCTCATGTGAAAAGGCTGAGCCCCTGAGCTGCCTGGTGGTGCTGAGGTGCGTGGGGCGCGGCCTGTCCCAGTACCAGCTGCAGCCGACGGCCTCCTTCTACTGCTCTCTGTTGCGGTGTGCCCAGCAGCACAGCCAGCACAGCCTGCGCACCTGTGCGGTGAGTCACGTGACTTGTATTTAATGTTAATAGCACCATTCCGGAGCACGGCTCCCCTACTGCACCCTGCACTGTCAGGGAAAAGGGTACAGCCCTGGTACAGATTGTACCTCAAGGTACAAACAACAATGAATTACCCCCAGTGTTACAAAAATATTCCTCATATTCTATTTCTGTACTTTAAAGGGTACATTTACCTAAGATAGATTTGCCAGACCCTTAAGGGTACAACCAAAGTGGTACAGATTAGTACTCAAAGGTACAGATTAGTACTTCTTTTCTGACATTGTATGACACCTATGAGTCATGAGTCGAACAGAAAATAAAAATCCTCCTTGCTGAGCAACATCTGCCGGCAGGGCCCCCGCTTACGTTTTGTCTGCCGTTATCTGCGTAGGAGTCTCTGTGCAGGGAGGTGGAGAGCCCACAGGCTTTGAAACGGACCCGTGGGGGCATTCTGCCCTTCGTTACCCGCCTGGAGGACTTTATGTACCACGGCAAGGCCATATTAATGGGGGAAGAGGAGCGATGGGGGCTGGACAGCTTATACGCCAAGCTGCTCAAGGCGGCCGTCCACACCTGTGAGTGCGGGAGAGCATCTCTGAAGCAAAGCTGCCATTACGGGGCACAAGCACTTACACACAGCTGCCACTGTAGAGATGCCAGTTAGCCTAAGTTGGCACAGAAACAGTGCAAGTGAATAAAACCATAATATATAACCGATTATATAACTATATGTAAGGATCAACATAATCTTCATATAATTTATTTGTTTATGTTATGAATGTTTACGAATGTTTGTTCCCACAGTGGAAAAGCTTTCTGGGTCAAATGCACGCTCAGGCCCCCTGGTGGTGAGGCTGATGAATTACCACCAGCTGGTAAACTTTCTGGAGCAGCTGCGGCTGTCAGGACTCGAGGAGGTGCATGAGGAGGCCAAAGAGAGGATGGCGCTGCACCTCCGGCACTACATGGCCATGCAGATGGGCCAGCCACTTGGCTTGCTGAGCGTGAGTCACACGCCCGTGAAATGTAATGAAATTCAGTGGCTTTGATTTGGGGAGCTACAGTTGGTTTATACAGTATATTACTGTATTTTGCAATATGGACACAACTGATAATGATAATATTGTACCAGAATTTTGACCTCTTATATTTTTTATATTTAAGCAGTGCTACTCAGTATCCCTAAACTGAATGAAGCTGTCTTATTTTAATGTATTAATAAATACCCTTAATATATAAACATTTTCAGTTTTAATATTTTCCTTTTGCCTACTCGTTATTTTTTAGTTTTGGTCATAATATATTACTTTAAATGTTGGGAGAGATGCCATTATAGAGGATAGACATCATGCAGTATGTTAGGGCAAGCGGGTACAGAAGATAGATGGATGGATGGATGGATGGAAGTTATTTCACTTGGTTGTGATAAAAAATTACAACAAAGTATTTCATATTGTCCCAAACTTTATTTTCATCCAAAGTTTATTTGTGATGCACAATTTGGTGCACAAGGAAATGCTGACTCACTCTCTGAACAATGACAGACACAATATGAAAATAATATGACATACAGTCCATCCTTCCATTCATCATTCTTAACCACTATTATCCTACAAGCTATGAAATGGGAATAAAACAGAAATAGAGAGTCCTTGTAAGGCAAGGGCCAGTGCTGAGAGAGACAGACAGAGACAGACAGACAGAGAAAGACAGACAATAAAACCAGGAGTAGATTTTGAGCCTGATGAGACTCCTCACATGTAGACTAATATGGTTAAAGAAGGTAATCTGGCTTCTTTGTTGCTGAACTGTGATTTCTGCCCATGATCCAGTGCCATCACGCTTTCCGTTTTTGCCCATGATCCAGTGCCATCACGCTTTCCGTTTTTGCCCATGATCCAGTGCCATCACGCTGTCCGTTTTTGCCCATGATCAAGTGCTGTCACGCTGTCTGTTTTTCACCCGTGATTGAGTGGCATCTTCCTCCCCGTCAGGACTTCCTGGACGGGGTACAGGGCCACCTGGCGCATGGCGTGCAGGAGGAGGAGGTGGGCTTCCAGCTGGCCTACAGCAAGCAGGAGCTGCGCCGTGTCGCAGAGCGCTACACTGGTCGGGAGGTGCGGCGCATCCTGGAGGCCTCACATAGACGGCTGAGTCGCGAGCTGGCGGACAGCCCCCGCCTGCTGCAGGTAACTCACTGGCGGACAGCCCCCGCCTGCTGCAGGTAACTCACTGGCGGACAGCCCCCGCCTGCTGC